TATGGATTAGTGATAATACTATTATAATCTTAAAGTGAAGTTTATTATCTTTTAAAACAACTTTCTAAAGGAAATTTTCAAATTGATTTTTATGTGGTTTTGTCACGCAATTAAACTGTCAATTTTGAATCGATTATGCAATTTTTTTTAATCGTTAGTGTTATTTTCCTAGTTGATTCCATATTAATTTTGTAGTGATTATTTATTTATTTATTTTATTTCATTGAAGCTGCAGTTTTTCTTTGTGACGCAAAATATTGCTTGTTGTTAAGGAAACTTTATCTGCTTGTAGTATACACGTACACGTATTCAGTTGTGAATCGATTTGTAAAATTCTTTTTTTATCTGAAAGTACATACATTCAGATTAGTCCCATGGAAATTTTATTTAAATTAAAAGTATGAATACTCTAAGTATTGCTGCTGATGCAGATACAGATTTTCTTTATGAGAATTTAATTTTCTTTTTTGGTAATATAACATTTTTTTAGGAGAAAAAAGAAGTTTTTTTGGAGACCCTGTTAATGGATATTAACACTAGTCTTAAGAAATCCTACCGACATCTCCATTCATTTTTGCTCGATACGAGATTGATGAATGTTGAAGAAGCGAAAGAGGTTTGAACCGAAGCATTTGGCGTTCCATTGTTTCTGCCTATCCTAATGGGAGACAAGCGTGACATGTATGTATGTATGTATGTATTTTAAGAAATGTGTTACATTAATTAACATACCGTATATATTTTATCAGTCACTAAGCACGAGTAAATTTTGATATAATGTGGCTGAGACAAATTTGGTGAATTCGATTTCCTGGGATTTTCTTATAATACAGACGTAAGATTATTAATTTCATACATACTATTTAAACTAGTCCAAGCTGTCAAACAGTAAGAGACGTGGCATTAATTAAAATGTTTATTGCCACTAGAAATCTAACCAACTGTACAAAATATTTTAAATTAAACCCACGCTACATTATAATACCACTGCCATTAATTTATTTTAAATTATATTTCCTGCCTAGGCAAACAGTAGAGCGCCCTCTAACTACATATGTGTGGAGCGTACATGGGTGTGGTGAGATTTTTAGTAAGGGGGACAAGCGGTCTCATTGCTAGCAACCTACCCTGTTTAGTCAACCTCCATGCGGTCACCCCTGAAAACTATGGTGATTGATTCTCGATGAATTTCTCTCGATAGGCCAACAAACTTTCTTTCATTCTCATCTGTGATCAGTCACTGATGCCTGCCAACGTATACCGATAGGGCAGACGAGTGGCCATGTAATTAACATCTATTAAAAAAATCTATATGCAGCGATGGTTTTGCCTTTTACAATTTTTTCTACTTTTTTTTTATTACATTCTACTTTTTTTTTATTATAATATGTCCTTAAACTGTGACACCTGTAATATGAGGAATCAGTCAATAACCATTTGGTAGCACATCTAAAAACATCTAGATTAAAAAAAAAATACATACATTTAGTATATCATTTCAGATATAAAAAGAGTTTCCCGAATCGGTCTAGAACTGACGGAGTTATGAGGTAACAAATGTAAAAAAAAATACAACCGCATTGAAAAAATCCTTTTTTTGAAGTTTGTTGAAAGAATACATTTCAACTATTTCGAAATTTTTCTGTTATATATTGATTATTTTTATATACGATTTTCTTATTACAATGATAAATATATATATATATATAGATATATAATTACTGTTTTATGGTGATTTATAATAAAATTAACAATATATTCAACGATGTCTAAAGTTCCAGACAGAACACGAGCATTACGGAACAAATCCAAAGCGTTGTTTGCAGTAGAATTTAAATGAATTATGCGTTCAGAAATCAATGTGTAATGGAAATAGTAGCGGGTAAGATTTATTAAAATTTATGAATAGGTATTTATTAAGCAGTCCGTAACTCGCCAACATTGTCAGTTTCTAATTTATAAATGTTTAGAAACACGTGGGGCCTTTTACTCTTGTGGAAAAGGAAATAAACATATCAACTTATACATTCATAAACAATAATTTCATCATCTTTGTTGTGATGATAAATGAATTTAATAAACAATAATTATGTAGATAAATAACACTGCTATGGAGTGTGTATTGCACAATCTGAAGGTATATTTTGGTATCGTAAATTAGGCGGAATGCATACGGAGCGGTGGTTAGTTTTCGGCATAACTTGGTAGTTTTATACATACCTTTAGTAGAAAATGTAAATAATATTAATCAAATGACCATTTAAAAATGTATTGTATTATTTATGGGCTACGCCTCCTTTTCCCGTGGGTGTCGTAAAAGGCGATTAAGGGAACTTAATGGTGTAGGGATGGGCAGCAGCGTCCCACTTAAAATATCAACAAAGTCTAACTGCAGTTGGCAACCCGCCTGCTAAGCATGGCAGCTACTTGGAAAGAAAAGGCCTGTGCTCAGCAGTGGACTGATAACAACTAATATGATAAAATGATGAAACATCAAAAAAATTACAGACTTCAAATAGAAACTTTGTAAAAGTCATCTGAATAGGAGACATTCTGTGCCGGCACCACTCGGCAAACTACTAGACTAATAAGGAGGAAAGGGATTGTTAGTAATGGATACTGGGAATCCCATTGCTAGCAATATACCCAACCAGGTCGATCTCCTCGCGGTTGTCTTTGGAAACTATCATGGTTAATTCCTGATGAATTCATCATGATGGGCTAACTGACCTGTTTTCTTTCTCACCTATCACCCTTCACTGGTGCTCCGCCAGCGTATCCCGTTAGCGCAGACGGGGTTACCATACCATTTTCACCTATCAAAAAAAAAACTACTAGTACTTATTCTAATACTGTACTAGTAGTATAACAGAACGAAGTGACAGTCGCTTCATTTCATTATATTTTCAATGGCGTAATTAAGACCACAAGTCACACTGAGCTGACGGTGATTTACTCGATTTCAATAATTCCTGATTTTATGTGGCACAACTGGTCGTAACTTCTTTTAGTTTCATTTATAGTTAGTACTAAATATGGTCATAGTTATTCCATCAATAGAATAGGAGTGTACCGAGTTATAAAATGCAATATTAATGTAGCAATACGAGTAACTTCAATCGATGAGACATTCCGAAATGTCGAGTCCTTTTGTCATTATAATTTTAAACGTTTGTAATCTCATATGTTAATAATAATTTACATTTTGATAGGATTTGCAGCTATTAAATAACTTATGAAGCTGTAAAATAAAAACGATTTTTCGCTGGAATGAAGAAGAAACATTTCTAAGAGGGTTTTTAATTTTGTTTGTCAGTATATCAAAATTAATGAAATCTTAAATAGACAACGTTCCTATAGTGATGGAATAAAAATACATCAAACTTTTTTGTCTATATGCTGTCTGTAAAAGTTGATTAACAGAACCAAGCACAATATATTAACGCAAGAGAAAGAAAACAAGAAACTGTTTGCTAATAGTAGAATATAGCCTCTTCTTTAAAAGAAAGACTTATGTCCAGCAGTGGGACTTTAAAGGATAATTAAGATATAAAAAAAAATACCAAACACGAAATCTAAACAGATATAGCCCTATATTTTTTATAATATCAGCCGATAATTGTCCACTGCTGGACATAGGCCTCCTCCATAAGGAAGATTTTTCCAGTAGTTGCCACGCTTAGCAGTAGAGTTGGTGATGTTAGAAGAAGGACGCTGCTGTCCATCCCTCAACTATTAAATTTCTTTAGTCGCTTTTTACGATGCCCACGGGAATGAAGGGGTGGTTCTTTCTATGCTGGGACAACATGGCAAGCCATATATTATGTGCTAGCTTTTATCCGCGACTTCGTCCGCATGATCGGGACATGTTCACTGACCGGGATAAAAAGTAGCTTCGTTCCCTATTCCATATAGTACGGGTATACCAAATTTCATAGTGATCGGTTAAGCCGTTAAGGCGATAGGAGGTAACAAACAAACTCATTTTTATATTTATAATATTAGTAAAGGAGAATTAATAAACAAGGTATATTGCATACCAGTATTTTGGTGAGACATTCAGAAATGAATGTATCAAATAAAGAAATTGAATCTGAACTATAGCCAATTTCACTTGGCCGTGAGAGTCGCCGAGTTTTCTCGAACCTTCTAAAGATCTAAACAATAGCAATTTGTATCCCGAACACCATTGAATGGGGCACAGTTGGCAATAGATTTTAAATAACTGTGCATACGTTTGTTCTAACTTATTCTGTCAATTATCGACTCGTTAGCCTGATAGATCTGAGAGTGCCGTAACTCGGTTAAGTAATGTGTGGGGTCAACGGATTACGCCGCTGATATATTAAACTATTAAGCTTTGGTACTAGGTAAGTGCTTTGCAAAAGTGCTACAAATTTGCAGGCAAGAGATAAAGGGATTTATTTAATGTGAATGTGTGCCTATAGGGTTGACTAATCTTGTTTTTTTTTGATAGGTTCAAAATCAATATTATTTTTCTTGTATCAGGTAACTGGACGCTGGTTACGAAATATAATTGGCATTATTGTATTCAATTTTCAATTCTTGTTACCATTATATCTAATTACCTACATGCAGTAGCTTTACGTCAATAGACGTCGCAGGCGAAAGCATCATTGTAACATTACCTTATTATAAACCTTTTATTATCCGATTGTTCGATGAAAACCTCTTTTGTATATGATATAAGATAATTAATATCTTTCTAGTTACCCTTGGGCTTTGTGTGAGCGCAAATTATACATACAAAATTTTTCGTAAATGAATATTTTAAATAACAATGTAACTCTTACTGAGGTATGTTGCATGGTTTAGGAAGAGTAAGCGGATAATTAAATATTGTGTCTTACAAAAAGCAAAACCAATTTCAATTGTGACAAAACTTAACCTAGTTGTTATTATTAGTCTAGTCCGGATACCAGAGAAATTTGGATGCGAATACCATTGAGTTTTAGGAAGGTATTATTAATAACTCTTACCTTGTGTTTCAGAAACGATAGGTCCCTAACTGGTACTGTTCTCCTGGTGACCTTGAGTTCACTCTGCAGCACTTCCATGGTCGTCAACTCTTGGAAGCCCTGCCGCTCTAGAGCTAGACACGTCCTCTGCACTTGCTCTATGCACGGCGAGAACGAGCAGAATCGACCACCTACGATACGAGCGAAAATGATTAATTTTTAAGGAGTTTAAAAAATGACCAGCAAAAGATTAATAGTTGCTCGTCTTGAATGTAATAAGAACTACTTAAGCATAATTTTTTATTCTGATTTTTTGCTATTGCAATAATGAGGTTCAGTACATAAATAATATTTTTATCTATTGTAATAATATTGTACTAATTTTGCAAATATGGGAGATTGTGAAAGTATTCGAACAAAACATATTATAATTAATATCGGAAATTTATCGTAATTGACTGGTTTATATACATAATTAAGAAAAAAATATATTTTTTAAGCTATTTTAAGATAATATCTCAGGTCTTAATTTATTTTTCATTTCATTCATTCAATTTTTGTAGAGTTAATAATGTTATTATATGCTTACTATTTTATTCTTGAGTCCGTCTCAAGTTCCCGTCGGAACCGGACACCACCCTACCACGTCCGAGAGTCTGAGAGCACCCGGGGCGATCGACCTCAGTCACATAATCAAACAAAACGTCCGCACACCACTTCATAATGCGCGCGCGCACCACAAAAACATGATCCAGACATAACAAAATGTCGACAGATGTTTTCATTCCCATGTGATAGATACGAGATGGCCGGCCTTTTAGATACGTTTCCTTTTTGTTACCGCGATACCGTTTTGAAATTTTTACAAGTCCAAAACGCCACGGGAACGACACATAGTCTTTTATGTGGCCCGCGTTGCTCTTATCCGTCAAATCTTATCGACCAATAAGGACGGCGGCCGTCGCTCACTCGAGCTGTCTAGTCGGATGCGCTCGCGCATCTCCGCGGGGGGCGAATTTGAAATTGTTCCATTTTTAAATGTATCGCATGTCTAGATGATGTAAAGCGTGTAGCGGAGTATTAGCATAATAGTGGTCGGGTTGAAGTAATGAAGCTATTACACTACTCGGCATACGAGGCCGTTAATGGTGAATATGAACCAATGCAGCATAGGCGAGCGAATCGCTTATCATTCACGCCTCATCTACGCAGCAATGTAAATGACACGTTGATTTGCTTAATTGACGGGTAAAGTGTATCAATTATATGGATATCATAATGAATGGAGATGTTTCAAGTCGATTGGTATGGTCAAATCCACTGGTGAATTATTGTAATCAAGCGTAGTTTGAAAAAAAAAGGGCTAATGTAACGGATATCTGCCCTCTTCTTATAAACAATAATACATGTATTTTGTTACTTATAATTCCAAAATGTTCACGTGGTACTCCAAGAAACCATCGTGGTTATTTTTTGATAAATTCGTTACGACTGGCAAATAAAATTTATCCGCCTTCATACTCAGCTATTATGCTTCATTGATACCCCACCAGAGTTAATCGATAGCGCAAGCATGATAACTTCATTCTAATTACCAAATTAAAAAAATAGACGTATTGGTAATAACGGAATCGGCGTATACAATTAGGAAAAAACCCTTAGAAAAAAAAAGTTTAAAAGGTATAAATATAATCAGAGTATTCTGGCATCGATGTTGATTCAAGCGGCTTCTAATTATGCTTGAGCACGTGGAAGGGGCTTTATCAATTTTCCGTTGAGAAGAATAGTTTTGACTTTTCTTATACTATCATTGACTCCGCTCGACGGTGTCATAAATCTGTATCCGGACTTGGATATATTAACTCGTGAACTTGTCGAGTCTCGCAGAATGGCAGTAAATTATTCAGAAAGAGTGCAGTATTATTATGTTTTATATATTATAATTCCTAATTGAGTGAATTGGAAAACTGTCAAGCTTCCTTAGCTAGTAAATTGAAGGAGACTTTGTACAACAGTCGTTGGCATGGGTACCTCTGTCCCATTCGTGTTTCTACCGTGAAGCAGTTGTGTTTGCATGGCTGTGTTTCGGTTTGAAAAGTGGGATTTGACAGTGAATTTACAGTGTACAGAGGAATAACACCTGAGTCCTCAGGAATGGTAATGCGTGGGGGGTTTCATGGGTGAAACAGTCAGTATACTCTGTTATGTCCATGGTACTGCTCACATGAGCGAAACCATGGACATAACAGACGACAACTATCTTTCTATCAGGTGGGCCGTCAGCTTGTTTGCCATTCTAAGTTGCATAAAATATATATACATATGTATATATATATATATATATAAAGGGAAATTTTGTCGACAGGAAATATATCCCCAATCTATGCAGACTATGTATGGCAGAATATATATATATATATATATATATATATATATATATATCGATCACCGTATATATATATATATATATGTTCGGATATACTGTGGGATATATATATTATCAACACTCTTAAACACGTGTAGAGAGACACATATACGTGTGTGTGAACATAGAGAAAAAAGAAAACCTCATATAAATAACCCAATGAAATATCTTTGAAGAAAACAGATTAATTTAAGCTATGGAACAATATTATTAATATTAATAGGTTTGTATGAACAGTGCACTTATTTTAATTTGTTATTGTTTCTTTGTAAACTTTTTGATATAATTTATTTTTTAATAAAAATATATTGCACAATACAAATGGGCATCTTTCATTCATAGTCTACAGTAATGATACAAATTTAACCCTTTCGTTATTTTAAGTTTTTATGGTACTTATAGGTCTAAATGTTTTTATGGTATAGCAGTACCTATATATAATACATATACAGTATCAGTCAGAGGAAACGCTTTGGAGGAGGCCTATGGGGTAAAATAAGAGGCTAGGATATTTATATATTTATAACCTTTTACATTTTAAAATTTTTCCAACTTGGGTAAAATATGCAACTCATATAGATGCTTCGTTTCAAATATTTAATTAAAGTTAATTAATCACAAGTGACGATTTGATTACATACTAAAGAGCCGATCTTAAGGTTATATATTTCAAGCAAGTTAAATAATATTTAGACATTTGTGAATAACAGACTCTATCATACACACCTCCCAATAAATTTTCCGGTAGACTATAATTAAATAACAAAATGTTTCATTTTAATTTATATGGCTGGTTCGTTTTATCTGCTCAGCTATAAAAACATAAAAGTCATCGATCATTATTTGTCTAATTTACACTTGCGTGCCGAATTATTGAATACATTAAAATAAATATGTGGCATAATTAGTCATAGGCTTCATAATTAGCGTGTGAAATCATAAGTTTATAATGCGTAGTAAATAAACAAGTTAATCTATTAAAATGTTTTTTAATTAATAATTTGAGGGTATTTCATCATAATCTATTAATATTTTATTGCTGAGTATAGGTTTTTCCCATAATATAAGGGCTAGCTACTATTAGTAACCAGCTCTCGTGGTATGGGAAAATATCCACACAATTTTTTCCTCGAGTTTTTTATTTTTAGTGTTTTCATACCTCCAAAGGAAAAAAAAAACGGAACATGGAATCAATTCATTGTCCGTCCGTGCGCCTGTCAAGACTCTTTTTCTTAGAAACGCGTAGAGGTATCAAGTTGAAATTAATATCATATACTCAGATGTGCAATCTCTTAAAGCAATGAAAAAATCAAGCTTCTAAATCGGCGTAATCAAAAGATACGACCGTTTATGTTCCATTTATATCGCATATTTTGAAAAGGGGAATCAAAACCGAAAAAAGGAAGAGGGCCAAGAATCATGGAATTTGGCAATCCCGTTGATCTAGAATCATGAAATTTGGCAAGAAGCAATGTCATGTAGCACAAGTAAAGGAAATAATCTGAAAACCATAAATTCGTAATTGCGCGAGTCCGACTCACACTTGACTGGATTTTTTCATTAGTGAATTGTAATTATCAAATGTCAGTAGCATAAAGTATCTATAATAATAATAATAATATCGTCTCGGAACAGAACCTAGCCGACAGAGTTCGGTACATACAGCGCTCTGGTATGTTTAGCGCGACCGAACTCGAACGATTGCGAAGTGAAGTTGTTCCAGAAGCAAATTCCGCGACCGTAGAGCAACCCATCTCAGACGTGCTACCTAGCGTAGAGGTGGTTGCCGAAACGCTTTCAGAAGCGGATGCGGACGGAACAACTTCCCAGGATATAGAGCATATGAGGAGCATACTAGAGGAGGCGATTCTAGAGATCCGAAGAACTCCCCTAAGAGAGACCGAAGCTTTATATATCCAAATGTGGCGACGCGGGATGCCATTGAGGCCACAAAGGGACTGCTGCCTCAGTACCTTGAGGGCAGCGGTGACCTGGGAGAGACGAGTTCAATCCTGTTTGGCGCTGCGTTGGCAGTATGCCGATATACCGGCGCAAAAATGCCCCGGGCTGGACGTAATATCCAAAGGGATAATATGAAACCAGCCTGGAAAAGAAGGATTGAACGACGGATCGCCCATTAGAGTCCTCATTGGTAGACTGCTCTGCTTCAGGGAGGGCAACACACGCCCGAGAATTATGCGCTCCGTAAAAGAGGCCTTTGCTGGGACAGGTGTACGTCTGTTCCAGCCGGACTTCGGGCACAAACTTACGGAGCGCATAGATGAACTGAAGCAGAAGATCGCTGCATGGGGGAAGCGACTCCGACGGTACTCTGAGAGGGTTGAGAGATATCAACAGAATCGCCTCTTTATGAGTGATCAACGGAAGTTTTATAGGAACTTGGAGCGCCCAAAACTACAGCCCACAGGACAAAGACCCGAAACAGCCAATTTCGTCGCCTTCTGGAGACAGCTTTGGTCTGAACCTGTGGAACATGAGGAGGGCGCATGGATGCACGATGTTGAGGAAGCATGTGCTCGAATAACGCCGATGAACGCCATTGCCATTACGGAGGAAGACGTGGTTGCCGCGATCCGTCGGGCTCCGAACTGGAAAAGTCCGGGGATCGACGGATTGCAGCACTACTGGTTAAAGGCGTTCTCGGCCAGCCATGCGACCTTAGCCGTGCAATTCCAGAGTGCCCTCGAAAACAGGGCGCTCTCGAACTTCCTTACAAATCACTCATTTAGCTCCTAAGACGGACGA